ACATTAACTGACGTTGCAAAGTGGGAATCATAATGTTGAGGATCGGAAATTAGGTTGACGATCATCTCACGAGCCCGCCTGATCTGCATTGGGCGGAACTTGAGTGCAGATTCGGCATGGAAGGTTTGGTGGAAGAGTCGTCGGCTAAGACGCCATGCATCATTATAACCTGCGAATAAAAAGTTAAACATCCAGCCAAATCTGTTTAGAGATTTCAGACCGATTCAACGAAAAAACAAACAAACAAGGAAACACACGGTTCAACTGTGGCTAAATAGGGTCGATCGGAGTAGATTCGGGAACGGTTGTGCAGCAAGGCGCGTGCAACACGCTGAGAATTGATGACAACCACTTTCTGGTCTAGAATTCGCACGAAAAACAAGTCTCCTGATAGTACAATGAGCATCATATCAGCGCTAACTTTCTGCTCACGTACCATAGATAGCATGCCATTCAGTATAGGTTAACCAAGGTCGCTTTGTGTTGATAGATAAGACATTCCCCAACAATGGAAGCGGCACTGGACCAGGAGGAAGAGGAGGTTTATGTTGTCTGTTCCCAACGAACCGCCTGAGGATAGTAATGACAACAAAAGAAACGGATAGGACGGCAAGAACGGCAAGGCTATCAACTGAAGGGGTCCCGGTCATGATTAGAGCAGCTATCCTTGGGCAAAATTAACGATCTTTTTATAAATGCAAGGGGAGATTCTTATCGCGAGTTGTGATTGGTGTTTCTAAATCGCATCGGTTCAAACCACGCCGTTAGATGCGGTTGTGGCCCAACAAATTCGACACGCCGAAGAAAGAATACAGAAAACGAAAACCACGTTTCAACGTACTTTGGTTGGTGGATAGATATTCAAAGACAGGCGGGTGATGCTTCAGTGAAATGGACCACAGTATTTCTGATGTCCAATGGCAAGGAAATCAATACATAGTGCAAAAGGCAGTTCCTAAAATAAAACAGTTACCCTGATACTTCGAACCAAACCATCAACTTACATTACGTAATATTTGAGGTCATGCGTGAGGCACATTCGACGAGTCATTGACGTTCAACTGAAAACGCTCCTTCATGTACTCAATGCCTCCACTGGGCATTTGTGCAATCGAGAGGCACAAATCAACACCTTCATAGAAAGTAGAGTATGAAGAGCTTTTGTATTTATTCATGATCCATGCCTATTAAGCAACGGTCACAAAGTTATGTTGGTGCATACGTGGGAGAGCCAGAAGCCGCTGCTACATGATATTCAGGGCAAGGTCGTGTATGATTTAGACCCAGTCATGACTGTTGTGAAAATGCAGACATTCTGCGAAGTCTCGCAATACAGGGTATCACTGGGCGTGGACTCGGTGCTGCATGAACCAAAATAACAACCAACGATCAGTCAACTCAATGTTTGTCTTGTATCAACACTCGGCACTCACCATCGTCTACATGTCGGATGTTCTACTTTCTTCGAAGTCTGGCGCACTCGCAAACAGCGTTTGGAATATGCGAGGATCATGGACTAAATTATGGGCTTTTGAGTACTTATCGGAAGTTACTGATCAGACAGAGAACATGTAAAGTTCATTGAGAGGAAATGGTAGATTGAGGCTCGAAGGAACTCGTAGTTTCATGATTAGCAATTACAAATTTGGTCGCTACAAACAATAAATAATAGTAGGTCCACGTCGACCCCTAGTAGTACTCATGCACTTTGGCCCGCCGGCCCCACTTGTATGCGCCACACAAGACCAACCAAAGACCAGCAGCGATAACCGCGCAGCTGCCAGCAACATAGCAGAACGTAGCATGACGTGGCGATAAAGACCGCTTGCTACTATTAAATATTAAGGGATCCAGTACCAGCATACCAAGCCTGATTATAGACGGCGTCGTCAGTGATCACCCTCTATTTGAAAGCCCAAGAATTTGTACCTTTGAATGTCTTCTTCTACTAACGAGACTCAGACAAAAGACAAACCATATTCGCGTCTTGTCCTGAAACACGGTCCAAACCGGATCCTGGTTAAACGGCAAATTTCGTATAATGTGAGTGGAACAACTAGTTAAATCTGTAATGGCTCATAGATATCATGAGTCCATGCTTGACGCCGCCTGCAGACATTTCCCAAGCATTCCGAGAAATGAGGTCATGTTGCAGACCAATCGACTCGCTGTTTGCGATGGCCTTTATGCGGAAATCACGGCTGAAGTATGGGACGATATTCTTCACTTGCTTCACTCCGTTGAGGTGACTCGGCGTGTGGAAATGACTTTGCCCGTCCCACTGCCGCTTGACAATCAATTGGTGCCAAGTAAAGTTAACGAACAGGACAGCTGCTCGTATGCACCAAATATTCTACGTGTGTTTTTCCGGTACTAAATTTGAGACCACACAACAGGAACGATGACGAAGCTTGGTACGTTGACCCAAACCCGTCAGGCCAGGCGCCAGAGTGCGACGACCAAATCACAATCAAACTTGTTTCTCGATCTGGCGAGATTAGGACTACTAAAATCTCGAGGGAGATGCAGGTGGACAAGTTTCTTGCTCAGGCTAGTCAGATATTCGGATATTCAGGTCTTGTCAGGGCAATTTTTGGCCAGGTAAGGATGCATGCGAACCAAACTATCGGATCGTACAACATCGAGGATGGCGACTCCATCAATATTCGAGTTAATGATTTCACGCGTATCAAAAAGCCAGTCATTTATCTATACTCGCCCTCCGACATCGACGTTTCTGTTAAGCTCTCCCTCATTCCTGAGTGGAAACTATCTGTCATCTACCCCGTTGTTACCACAGAAGACAATGGACGGCGCTTAGAATGGAATGTCCGCACCCATCAAGATGGCAGTCTGACTGAACGCGATTCTGGTTTGAATGTCTCGTACTTGTTCTGGGAGGCGGAGTAAGTCCCCTGATCATACAGAAATCACTCTCCTGACTTGTCTTACTCTTCGCAGGACAAATTCACAAGCAGCATCCAAGCCGCAACCAGTGGATACATTCAATCCAGCATCCAGCAGTCTTGACAACACGGATTCAATTGTCACTCCAGTGGACAAAGTGGCCGTTTACCTCGACAACTCACTCAAGGTTTTGGGACTTCACACCGAAGCTAGAACATCATTCATAACGTACGTACATATGCGCTATCCATGCTATTAATTAGTAAACACAGCACTGAAACTGTCGTGGTAGCTACTGGCTACCATCCATCCTCAAGCACGAATACGTTGCCCTCCGATTTGTCCCTCAAGCCGCATTCGAACGTGCCGCTTCCTTACGCATTTCTCCGCAACCCGACGTCGTGACTCGCGTATTCATATTGTTCAAAGGTATCCGTAAGGAGGACTTCGCAAATTGGACCAATGCACGAATTCAAGCAGAGAAAGACGTTGCTTGGTGGGTGAATGTGGTTGGAGTTGATCCTGCAAGAGCTGGCGATGTGACTTTGTTCAGGGCGTTGGAATGGGGCGGGATGGAGGTTCTCATTTGATATTCTATCAGGTTATGTATTCAATTTGTGCAGGTGTTAACGCGTTCTGTTTTGATCAGTTCTGCATCCGACAATTGTGAGGAAAATGTGAACTCGATGGTGTCCACGAAATGGATGCATATGATTAAACATGCCCGCAGTTGAAAGGCTGTGGTTAGAGCAAGGCTATAAATCCAAATTTACATCTTATGACGAGAAATCGTAAGTTACGCGCCGTTGACCCAAAGACACTGATGAATATACCAACCATAAATCACGTCCGACCCCTTCTCGTAAAAAGTCGACATAGTACTTAGTCAAAAACCGCACCTGTTCCAGCGTCCCAACGGCCTTGACGCTTCACCGTCTCCGCACAACAGTGATTGCGCGCTCGACCAGTTGTAAAGTATCCTTCCTGACGTGACTCTCCAAGCCATGAATTCTGTCAGGGACTCGTTGACTAGGACGATAGTGAAGTAAGGGGTTTAGGCAGTGATATCCTGCAATCACAATGAAAGTGAGCAGCTGAATGACTCAACAGATGGAGTACTTACGGAAGGATGTCCATTCCTGCCCGGTGCGCAGAGCTTGTGTAGTCTAGCCAGCGTATCCCGAGAAATTTGAGCTTTGCATTATCCAGGCAACTGCAAACTAGCCAACATATCCACTGAATGTGACAGCTAGTACAGCGTGCTCCAACTTGATTTATACGCCGTAGATATGTCGACAAATGGCGTTGCGCCCACTGACCATACCTGCAGGGCACACTAGCGATCGTTTTAGCATAGGTCAGTGGATACGCTCGTGCCTTGAGTAAAAGCAACACACCGAGGTACCCAGCTTGAAATGGCACTTGGTACCATAGAAATGTGATGTTGAAGGGAGCATTGCTCTGAACGCTCTCAGTTTGGTGGTATTTTGCAATGCAACTGAAGGTGCCAGTCTACACTATCAGGCTTACATACTAAGAACAGTGATGACGTGGACTCGCTGTTCGTGTTCACTGGAATTGATGAAATCGAACATAGAAGGAAAGACAACCTTTGATTAGACAGAGCAGACGTCCCGCTTTCTTGGAGAAAATCCGCTTCTGATCGCTTCCATTAGGCACTTCAATGCGGATCTCTAGGCCAGGTAGAGAAGTCTTAGTGGAAGAAGCCATCGGTTAGACTCGTAACCAGTCTGGACTACGTCTTTGATATTGTTAAGTGTTTGACGTAGATCGGTGTCAAAGCATCGATGAACAAAGTTCGTGCTCACTGTTCGGCATCTTCCGCATCAATCCACCTGTTCTCAGGCTGTGGGTGAGACGAAGTATGTATATGAGCGCTAGCGACTAGTCTGGTGCGCACAATTAACTCACAATCAGACCACTTTTTGACCATTTTTGACCGATCGTTTCAAGTAGAAATTATAAGGGCTTCAGATTCAGAAGTCATGGACTCGAGTCACTTCAGCATCAACCTTTCTTCTGTTTCCAGAATCCACTCGTCATCGAAAAGTGTCTTTAGACTCTAGGGTATCATGGATCCTCGTCCAAGAGTAATCTGCCTTCCAAACACCATGACCAACTGGCCCTGGCCTCGTGCGATGAATCCCCATTATGAGGTTGTAAAAGCTGAAGTCGATGCTTCGTTCCGTGAATTCAAGGCTCTGAGTGCCGAGTCACAGGAAGCATACGACAAGTGTGATTCCGGTTCGGCCTCTGTTTTTACTTGCCCATGATTTTAATGGTTGATTACTATTTTTGTAGCCCGTTTAGCAGCACTGGGTTATCCCAATGCATCAAGAGGTTCGTGTTCGACCCTAGTTCGGGTTCTTGTGAACCGCACACCTCTAATTCTATTCTGGCCACATAGAATACCTTCAAATCGCCTGCGAGTTTGTCAATGTCCTCATCATTGTGGACGAGTACACCGACGTTGAAAATGCAGCAGTTGCCGAGGCAATGGTAGGCATCGTCATCGATGCCTTACACAATCCTCACAAGACACGACCAGATGGCGAGTGCATCCTCGGTGAAATCGTACGACAGTAAGTATTTTCAAATTGTCTAATCATGCATTCTGAAGTCCAAGGAAATTTTGCGTAGATTCTGGGCTCGTGCGATTCAGACCACAAGCCTACCTTTTCAACGTCACTTCCTTGACAGTTATATCGCATACCTTCGTGCAGTGATTGTCGAGGCTCTCGACCGCGATAAGGCTCATTGCCGTAGTATTGGTGATTACATTAAGCTGCGACGGGATACATGTGCTGCAAAACCTCTCATCGCAATATATGAAATGGGAATGGATCTTCCCGATGAGGTGTTTTATCATCCCGTCATTGTCGAACTAGTCGAATGCATTGCAGAGTTGATGTTGATTGACAATGTAAATTCGCATTGGAGACGTGATCTGCAACCGCTAACAGCATTCACAGGATATGATCTCGTACAATAGAGAGCAGGCAACAGGGGACGAAAATCATAACTTGATCACTACTGTTATGGTGGAACTTGGCCTCGACAGAAGCGGTGCGATGATCTGGGCAGCACGCTATCACACCGAAGTCGAGAAAAGGTTCACCGATGGTCTCACCAAGGTACCTTCGTGGGGACCTTCTACCGATGTTCTAGTCAAGGAGTATCTTGAAGGGATGGCAACATGGGCTCGAGCAAATCATTCTTGGAGTTATGAAACTCAAAGGTCTCAGGAATTTCTAATTAGATAAACGATCACTTACCCTGATTGAAACTGCAGATACTTGGGTACAAGGGGCCTAGAGATACAACGAACTGGCCTTGTCCCATTACTGCCCAGGGTCAACTGCAAAGCCTCATCCGCGGGGGCAAAGGTCAATGTGGCTGATTTATCCATGATGGATGCCACAGCAGGCCATAAGCATCTAGAAGCTCCAGACCAACCCAACTCGTAACTAGTGTGTTCCACGAGCGCCGGGCCCACCGTCGCCCTAGGTGATAAGTGTAATATAATCCACATCTGTTCAGAAGAACGGGCATAGACCGCAGATAATGTTGTAGCGAATATGACATTTATCTTCAGGTGTGGCGCCCCTCTCGCAGAGTTCGCAGCTCGTTTTCCATGCACGTACCTCACATTTCGTCGACTGATTGTTCAAGTTCGTCAGATACACAGTAGTTTACAATAAGCGATATCATGAATACAATATCTCTTTTCTACTAGTCGTGGACTTAATACGGATGCAGAAGCAGGTGTAACGTGGTCAGACCGCCGCCCGCGCATAACCGTTACACCAAAAGGTGAAATACTGAAAGCTTAGCTTTCAGCATCAGCGACGGTGTATATAGAACTCAGATAAGCCAGCGTGCTTACACAGGGGCGATCTTGCTAATCTCGGGTTACCACCAACGCACAGTGATGACGGCTCGTCTGATGTGGACAGTGTATGGTAGTACTAGAGATATCGGCCTACGTATTTCTGGTCAGCGATTTAGCTACAAAGAAGATACAGAATGCCATCCAAGCCAATAGATAATACATAAATGTATCAGGGAGCAGTATATGTGTACAACAAAAATAATCTGTGTGTTTGATTGATGTAACAAATTGCGACGACCATAAGTCCAGAGTGGAAAGGTCTTGGATCAAGCATCCAGTTCAGGGAACACTATGATATATGTATGCGTGCTTCATGGAAGTAACGCCAGTAACCAGGAAGTAGATGTGCAACAGAAAACCAAAGCTTCGGAAAGTACTTGGTCAAGCCGAAGTTACACAGATGAGAGTATGACTCACACTATATAGTTGACACGACAGACGGTCCGCCTGAGTTGTCTTACATACCATGAATCGTAATCCGATAAGACCCGAATATAATACGAATGCGACGCTACAGTATGCGTCCATCCTCCAGACCTGAGTAAGACAAATCGACCACATCGGAAGTCCTATAAACATGGACACACGAGCTGGAGAAGGATGTGCGATCGGCAGCGTTCGTCTACCTATGGAGCGATCTCCTTCTTGGTCTTTGAAATCCTGTGCTTGGAGCGTGGTGGCGAACATAGCGATGCTAAGCAGCACAGCTAAGAGAGCATTCGGCTCTAGCCGCGACATATCTCGGCCTGGTTGCGATAGTTAGGTATTTTCTTATTTGATATCAGCTACATACCTGCAATGAGGGTGGCCCCAGCCTGGAAGCAAGCATATCCTAAGCCGGTCATTAAGTTTTTTGAAAACCAATGACTATGGGCTTTGAATTCATTGTACCAAAGAGTGAGCAGAGTTATCGCTAGGCTTGCGCTTAGCACTTGGATGCTGTAGAATGCTGATGATACCAAGCATATGGGGACCAAGGACCAGCGTAGATAGACCGCATCTCGTAAACTAATGTATCCCGCTGGTATTGGTCGACTAGCTTTGTTCCTGCCATCTTCTGCTGGATCAATCACTTGATTGGCAACATTGAAATGAAGGAGATGAAGCCAAATCCACCAGACCACATGAACACATCGGTAAGGGCTGTAGAGGGGGGCTGACACCAGTGCGAAAAGTGTCTGCGTCTATCATCTCAGAACAGAAAGTTACTGGGAAACGCTATTGTTTACCGTTGGAATGATCGTCGTCAGAATATCATTGTGCGTGAAGAGATAGAGTGTAAATAGGGATTTTGAGATGGGTCGTCCAAAATCAAGGGCGCTCATGAGTGTGGAGATTGTAGCACATATCCCGTATCCTTAATAAATGTTGACCAGAAGAAGCAGAGCCGAAATTAGATGTTTGAGTCTCATCAGAGACACCGTGCGAAAGCACGGAAGGGGTCGAGGAAGAACTCGGTTGGGCATCCTGAATAGGACGGGAAGAACGATCTTGTTGGACAGGGTGGGTGTTCTTGGGGACCCACGAAATAATTTCCAGCTCGGAGAATTGTTCCTACAGGATAGAGAGTCGAGATACGAAGTGGTGCGGATCGGCGGTCCGAGCGGTAAAGAGGAAATAGGACTACGCATACCAGTACAGATGTTCTCCGAGTCTCGTAGCCTCGTAGTGGTTCAGGACCACCTCGATGAAATACGTCAACGATTGCCCAAGGGTATTGCGAACAGGTAGCGCGTTAGATGATGTGCGAGAAGCAGGTTCCACGCTGATTGCCACAGAATTTATGGCACATGGGATGCCGCCAGCCGGATCACATCAGAACATGTGGATGTGGTCCTGGTACAACATACACAAAGTAGTATTGTAGTATACGGTCGCACAGTTGCTCGAATTTGAAATTATGCCAGCTGTCGACGGTCGTCAACTCGACCGTGGATTTCATACACGGCAGCACGCACCAACTCACTTTGCGAGCCGGTGATACGGATCGCTCCGATGGGGTGTCCTAGCGACGGAATAAAAGTAGTTATTAAACAGTCAGCTCGTATAAGGTAAACGCTTTGCAAACATACCCCTTTTTAACCGATATGACCGGAGGACTTAGGTGCCTCCACCGATAATAACATGGAGATGCGGCTCAAGCGCTCTTCAATCGCTGTCAAATCAGACATCATAGCGGTGTGCCTATGTTCCAGCGATTCAAAGATGTTATCGTCGTTTTGCAGATTACTGCTTTCCGTAAATGTAGTAGAGGGGAGGTTTAAGAAACGAGTAGAATAGGATCCAGATATTGTGGGCGTCACGCTTCTTCGGCTGAGTACAGACATTGCAGAACCAGGGCGTGGACTTGGGCTGGGACTTGGTGGTCCATCCGACTCGGTTTCCTCTGCTCCCTCAGATGCCGAAGCAGCCACCACGGCTGGGAAATCATCAGAGTCATAAGTTTTGTCAGTAACAATGGGCCGGAGACAAAAGCGCAGCTCTTTCCGAACGGTGTTTGAAAAATTTCGGCTAGAGGACTGTATCAAGCGCGGCTTGCGGCCACTAGCGAGGACTTTCTTCCTGGCACTCATTCCGATGCATTCCACAAGTTGCTTCATGGCTTCACGATCTGAAACAGCGCGCCGCTGAGCTGTACGCCGAATAGTGCCTGTGCGGGGAAGGGTGTGGAATGCTGATAAACTATGGGGACGAATAGGTGTTGCAAAAGCGGAGAAATGCGTGGCAGTGCTGGAAGCTTTGAGCAATGGACGAGGGCTATGGTTCCCGGAAGTGGCCTGTAAAGGCTGAGGAGTAGCCAATCTGCCTGTCTCGTATTTTAGAGATGAATTGGTTGGTAGAAGGTATACGTCCTCAGTAGGACCCCACGAAAATCCGATGAAGGCCGACTCGGCTCGTGGAGATATGTGATGAGACGTGTCATGCAAAATCGATATTCCAAGCGAAGTGTTTGGGGAAGAATGAAATAAAGCAGAAAACGCAAACGGCTGTGAATTGCCTTCATCCGTGGGTTCAGGGGGTTCAGGTACTGCTGATGCAGAATATGTGAATTGCGGCACGTGGATGTCAGACGGTGCAAGGCCTACGCAAGAAAGAATGGATATAAGAAGAACTATATTGATACCCAAGACTCACGCGAATCTACACAAGACCAGTCGGTGTTTCCGAAAAACTGGTGCTCTGTTATTTCCAGCACGCTACATCTCCCGAGACGATGGTGCCGATCAGTGAGAAATCTGTATCCACGTGGTTTGAATAATAGTAGCATGAATAGTGTCACAACAGACCTGTGAAGTAACTCCTGTAGTTGTTTAGAAACGGGAATCGCCGCATTGAAGCGCAAGCTTGTCTGTCCAAATGAAGGGTCAACGTAGGTACTAGCGAGCTTAGTAATACTGCAGTACCTGATAGTCCAAAATCCTCAGATAAGTAGTTCGGATGTCTTTAGCGAAGAAAGGGGCCACTCCATAAGCCAATTCATACAACATTGCACCGAGGCTCCACCAATCGACTTCTGAGCCATACGAACCAACTTCTTCGGAGAATGAAGGAGAAACATTGTCGTCCGACAACTCCAGCGCAAGGAGGGCATCTTCATGTGCTTGCAGAACTTCAGGAGAAATGTAATCACAAGTACCACAAGGAACAAGGGTATATTGTTTCGGGACTGACTGACTCCCGTCAGGCTCTGGAGGTGAAAGTGGCGCAGCAGACCCGAAATCTATTAGAAGCATGTGATTGCTTGCTGTGAGAACGAAGTTCTGTGGTTTGATATCACTGCATTGCGTTTATATGAGTACGCAACGCTAGAGGGTGGTCCTCACCGATGTACAAAACCCTGGGAATGACACCAGTTGATGGCGCAGACTGCCTGAGGAGCCCACCAAAGTAAGTCTGCCTCAGGAACTCTACCTTCAGGGCTCGACTCAAGCACGTCCCATAATGTACCTCCTTCGGCATAATCCATGACAATATTGAGATGAGTGGAGGTTTGGAATGCACAAAATAAGTGCGGAGCCCACGCAGAGCGCTCACGTTTTGCACGTAGAAGAATTTCCTTTTCCAACTGTGGAGAACATTGCTGCAGAATTTCTCAGCATGAAAAGTCGCTGATAACAAAAAAAGTGCTACTTCACGAGTCCGCTGGGCAAAATGTTTCTCAATAGATTTGCGAACATACACGCAACCATTTAGATGGCACGTCACCACGTCAATCTGAACAGACAAATCAGTGTATACGTAACATATATTCTTTACGCACTCACCGTCCCGAATTGGCCTTGGTCCAGTGTGCCCAGGGCGACAAGATCTCCATCTGAGAAACGGAGAGATTCTATCTCTGCAGTTCTCGCTATTTCAGCGGAGGTTATGAGCAAAAGACCGCCAGAATGCACCTGGCTCTCACCAGTCCTTCCTATGATCCGCTGACCATGCAAAATGCGATCCAAGGCAAGGCCTTCTTCGTCATCATCCGAGCTATTGAGTAATGAACCCAACAATGTTTTCCGTTTTGTCCAGGGTAGAGACATGCATTAGGTCAAGGATGAAAAAGATGACGTTTCTGGCTCCTATAGCTACAGAGTGATGATGATGATTACAGGAAGCTACAGACTAGTCGTTATCTAAGTCTAAAAGTGTGTTGAGTGTGTTGCTAGACAATCAATAACATTGAGCTCGGCTTTTTGCGTGATAAACGTTAACTCGTCCACACAACACCAACAACGTCCATATTACTGACAACTGGCAACCATAAATATTCACCATGAAGCTTGCAAGGTGAATATTGCGCTTGTTTCTATGATATTAGACTAACCCCAAAAGTTTTCTCTCTTCGAGCATTGCAAGGTTCGGGCGCTGACCCCAGGTTGTTTTCATCAGATTCTTGATGAAACTCAACAATGAGACGGTGACTATCGAGCTCAAGAATGGGTCACTAGTCCATGGGACAATCACCGGTTCGTCTAATCGGCTTGTTTACTCAAGCTTTACAACCCTCAAATCATTTGCAGGTGTCGACATGCAGATGAATACCCACCTCAAAACTGTCAAAATGACAGTCCGTAATCGGGACCCGACATCACTAGACTCCCTATCTATTCGTGGCAACAACGTCCGGTATTTTGTGCTCCCTGATGCACTTCCTTTAGATACCCTCTTAGTGGATGATGCGCCGAGGCCGAAAGGTAGGAAGAAGGACGAGGGGCGCGAAAGGGGAAGGGGACGAGCTCGAGGGATGGACCGTGGGCGTGGTAGGGGAAGAGAACGAGGAAGAGGAAGAAGTTTCTGATGATATGGTCAAATAGCATTATCATCGGGAGATGAAGAGTTCGCATAGGGTGCACCACCCAGCGGATGTAAATCCCTCTATGTAAATCTAAATGCTCCGACATCTGGTCCTTCTGAAAAGTGGGCGCTACGTTTAGTAAGACAGCCGTGTATTGAGGTGAGTGTCGATAATATCGTCTCACAATATAAGGTGAACTTTGGGAGCATCAACGGCATCGTCAAACAATGTGTTTTCCCAAGGGACCTTGTTGGCGTTCAGAGTCGGAGTCATTCACCCAAGCCATCAGTGTTGTAGTGGTGACAAAGGCTTTCGCTTCGAATGACATCTCGCTCGGGGAAGAGCATCATACCATAACATACCATTTCATACCTTTTCCAGGAATTCAACATGCGTTAGTCCTTACTCAAGAGTCTATGGAGCCTGCTAGAGACTTGGAGGGGTACTAGCACATGGGAGTCAGACGAATTTCATCCGCAGCATTCAGCATTCCGTCCTTACATATGTTAGACTAGTTATATGCTGGGTTGTATACGTACCAGCGCAAACTCAAATCAAACCACGCCACGTCTGCAACGAGCTTGCCACATTATAAGACTCCGTATATCTCCAGATTGAAGCTGAGTAAAAGGCCAACAAAGGAGCTCGCGAAGGCAGAAAATAACAAGGAATTTGACCAAGAGTTTCGCACCTAAACCTTCAGCTACTCTATCGTGCCCACACCATCCCCTGATAATCTAGTAAAATTGGCACAAAATCCCAGAGGCTGAAGTCGGGCCAATAGGTATTTACCACGTGGACTACATGTTTTCGCAGTACTGTGAGAGATACAAATGAGTTTGGTGAGGACAATGCTTCGGGTGAGTATATGACTGCCATATTCGCCAACAAAAGAATATCTGCTTTGAAATGGGAGATGGAAGACAGGGAAGGAACAGAGACACACCTGCCACTGCAGAAAACTGCTCAATCGCTTCACGCCACTCGTGCGAATGAAAGTCTCGAGCGGCGGACTGCCCCAAAGCGAAGTAATGACGTTTTCCTCGATAATCTGTTCTGTGATCAATCTGCGTGTATTGGTTGGCATGAAACATGACGGAGAAGTCACACATTCAAACAACGGTCAAGGAAAGATCTGTGCTCACGAAGAACCAAAGTTCTCTCTATCAAGGGCCTACTGCACGACGGATTGTACATGTCGTCCCATGCCACGAGGCATGTGGTGCGCAGACATTTTATAAAGTTGCTCCATTGGAGTGTGTTCAGGATGGAAGGCGAGGGTAGACAGGACATACTTGTTATTCTGACGCGTCATTTCCCTTCGCTTCATCAATTGCGACTTGAACACGCATAGGCAGCAGCTCACGATGGCTAACATACTGACCTAAGAGAGCACTGAAGAGTAATTGCAGGCAATAACATCAGGCGAGTGAGCGCTTTAAACGCAATGTATTTCAAGTAAGACCTCACCCATCCTGTGCAATCTTTACGAGCCTCTCTTCTGCTAGTTTCATGAGCGTGCAGACCTCGTCGGGTGGTCTGTTGAAGTTTGCGATCGCAAAGGCGTGGACCGTGACACGGCGTGCGTCAAAACCTATGCATATATCTAATATATGTAGTCCATGTCAGGGGATCTCCACGACTGAAACAGGATCAAGGGATGTATCCGCGTGAATGTATGCAACCTGTCTGAGTGACCCTCGACCGCGCGGCGGCCAGTGAGACGTGCAAAGGGGCGGTTAGCAACCGTTTCGAAGGCCACACATGACGTGAAATAGTGCCCACAGAAAGAACATGGAGGGGCAGAATTATGAGTTGGGCCGTGATAACTTGAAAGGAGGACTGTCCTGTCTGTCCAGCTGTGATGAAAACAACGGACTGCTTCTCTCCGGGACTAGCGGATCTCGAATGTATGATGACTATGTACTTGTTTGCGGTTTTGATCCTTGCTTTCGTTCTTATCTGTTCTACCACCGCAGTAATATCCATTTGGTTTCTTCCTCCTGGAACTTTGCCGGAGCCTTCAGATCCATCCTAGGGTGTCGCTGACACCAGCCCAGGATCCCGGGTAGACTGGTTACCAGGCCCCTCATAAATAGAGGGGCTGGTCACCAGTCTAAGGAAGTGCTACCAGAGGTCTTCCCTGAGCTACATTCCACCACAACTCTGGTGGCAACACTGTTTGAGCGACTCAACGAACGTGGCTGCAGAATAAATGAGCACAGCCACATACATTCAATTTCGGCCTCGGCGCCTCTCGACTTTCTCTAGATCTTCGTCGTCGTCTTAGACAAGCGCACACAATTTTCATACATCAATCATGCCTGACAAGCGACACGTTTTACTCTTGAATGTTGACGACATAGATGCTATCCAACCTGATGTCAAGGAGCAACCTACTCGCCCTGCCCACTCACACAAACGCAAGCGTTTTGTTGAATTCAGTGTCCTCCTCTCGCTTATTATCACTACTACCATACTTGAATTCTGGCCCCGTACTCGACACGATACGAGTACTGGAAGGGATTCATTGTACTCGAATGGAACACACGAGTTCAAGAAGACAGTGCTTATGATTTCGATCGATGGTTTTCGTGCGGATTATTTGGATCTTGGGCTCACGCCGCATTGTTAGATATCAGCCGGGAAGGTGTGAGGGCAAAGTACATGCAACCTGTTTTCCCCGTGCGTATTCCCTTTCAGTCATTTGCTCTAGTCCTAAACATTTCCCTCTTTGCAGACTCTGACATTCCCGTAAGTCATAATTTATCAAAATAATTGATACATCCGAATGAAATTTGTTCCAGAAATCACTGGTCACTGATGTAAATATCACTCGTACATTGCTCGACATGAGCTCATGATCTAGGACTGGCCTCTACACCGAGTCGCACGGCATCATTGCGAACGTTTGTTTTTCATCACTTTCTTCAACTGTCTGGCATTCTCACATCGGCCATGTAGAACTTTTGGGACCCCGTTTTCCGAGACACGTTCCATTTCGATCGTGTTGAATCCGCGCAGAACCCGAGCTGGTGGCTCGGCGAACCTGTCAGTGCTCACCGTTTTTGTTGTATGCATGCCTAATGCGCTTCTCTTCACCTCTTGTAACTTTACACGTTCGTCTGGTCATCTGACCGACACATACATCGATCTCTCCATCCTCTGCATTTGTTACCCTTCGTACAACTTAGATGTGGGAAACCGCAGAACGTGCAGGTATCATCACCGCAAACCTCATGTGGTCGGTTTTTTCCTCTGTATCGTGATTTGCTCTTTATTCACTCGACCAGGCCTGGTCCTTGGTCTACATCCTCGGGTGTGAACTCCACATATTTTCTACCTTGGGAAGTAAGAGTGTGGTCTTAAACTCGCAAGGAATGTAGTGTGATTGAAACTGGAGCGCAGGATAACTACGCTCTCGAGAAGAAACTTTCCAACCTCCTAGAGTGGATTGACCTCCCGCTGGAAGAGCGGCCGCAGCTTATTCTTGGTGTGTTCTTGCATCTGATTCTTCCTGTGTTTCTAGACGAAATGTCTATAATCTTCTGCTTGTCTTTTCGTTCTCTTCAATTTCACAATTTTCCTTTGTGTACACTGATGTTGTTTCATAGGGTACGAACCGTCGCTAGACCATGCTGGCCATACAACAGGGCCGATGTCCAAGGCCGTTAACGTAAGCGTTGTATCAATTCCATTGGTTGATGTGCTTATCTTTTTTTTCGAACTTGCTACTTACTACAGATGAGTCTTGCAGCTGTCGATCTTTTCGCTCGGAACCTAACCCAAGCACTAGGCGAGCGCAATCTCACGCATATCGTTGATATCATCTTCGTCAGTGACCATGGGATGACGGACATGAGCCACCCAACTTGGATATATGTTGACGAGATTGTTGGTGAGCTGTGGAAAGGTGTTATCAAGATGGATGGTAAGTGATTTCAGTGTATAGTTTGCTACTTGCCGGAATGTTTTAGACTGAGTGACGGATTGCTTACCCTTCACTATTCAGGTTGGCCATCTATGGGCTTACGCTTCGCTCCTGGCACGAACGCGACTGAGGCCCTTGAGCGTCTGTGCGAGTACACACTTACCCACCCGGATCAGTTCGATGTGTTTACGACCGAGAGCTTCTCTACCGACCCCGGCACCTCCTTGATAGACCTCAACACATTCAACTACGGTAAAATGTCTGCATGCACAGTGGAGCCTGTGCCCGAACGATACCATTTCTCCCATAATTACCGCATCGCCCCTGTGTGGATTGTACCGCGCATAGGCTACGCGCTGACTGACCGCTTGGGTGGCAAAGACGGAGTGCCGACTGGAGTGAGTTTACTTTACCGTATCTTGTGTCGCTTGGTTCTGCACTGCAGGTCATCGAGCTAACGCATTACGCCTTTCTAGAACCACGGCTACGACAACGAGGACCCGTCGATGCGTGCCATCTTTGTCGCACACGGGCCTTTCTCGCGGGGCGCCAGGGCTTCTGTAGTCGCGCGAGGAGAGGGCGATGCCACAGAGGAGTACGTGATGCCAGGGTTCCAGAATGTCGAGATTTACAACCTCGTGATGCGACTGCTGAGCCTCGACGCTACGGATATAGCTACAACCAACGGAACTGCTGGATTCTGGGATAAGTTTGTCTTGCCAGATGTTGAACTTCGTACATATTTGAAGTCGAACTGCGTTCGACGCTTCGAGAGCTATCATTACCCATCACCTTCCTGGACGTGCTACATACATATGCATCATCTTGCTACGCGCCATAAGTATCTGACCCGCGTCCTCAATGTCGGACAATGTTAGAAAACTAAATTTGTCATTCTCACTGCTACGAGATCAGACAAAGTCTTCGACTGCGTGACTACATGTTGAACTTGGGGAGTACCAGAAGTCCTGTCTAGATATTCGTTAATGAAGCACTGGCAAGAATGAACCGCATAGTCGAAAGACTCATATTATATTCCCTTCTACATAAGTATCATCTGCTACAACATATTCAATGTTCTCGGTACAGTACAAAACAGCAGTAAATATATTCAGCGAGGATATCATCAACTCGAGGAAACTCCGGATCTTCGATTACTTCTGCATCCAAGTCATCTGATTTGCTGTTGCGCCGCGATTTGTATGACCCTGACAATCGTTACTCTTGCGCAATTGGGGGACAGAGTACAGGACGAAATTGCAAGATGGTGATGTCGTAGAGGTTGAAGTCATCTTAAAACTGCATGTTTGTTCGATTTATTTCCTCCAGGTTTCTCTGACAATTCTTACCAGGTGGAAATCAGGCCACCGAAAGATGCACTGTCCGACAGTCGCGACGCTAACTTGAATGGGTCGCGCATATATCAACTTATGCTTGCGGCGTATGCACGGAGAAAGCTTTTCCATGATCCAAAAGGCAAAATGAAGGCTACTGATGAGCTCGGAGGTCAGTCACCTGCTAAGAACTCGAAGATGTCGACCGAGAGCCATGACGTCTTTGACATGGAGCTGGAAGCTGATGATGATTATCCTGACTCGAATGCTATTATGAAATTTGTAGTGCTGCATCTGATTTGCGAAGTGTCTGATTGCTGTACATACTCGATTGTTTGTTGTATATCGATAAACTGTTTGCTACCAATCCATCGTCATATCTTGAACTCCGAAGTTGAACTCGGGGACTGGCGCTTCCCAGCGCTGCTATGATATAGGACTACTAGAGAACCGCTTAAAGTCATGTTCAGATGAATGAACCTCACCGGTTTTCCCACGAATTGCGATCAACAACCGTGACCTTGAGTCACTGAGCTACGCGGTTCCTTGGGTGCAGGTACATACTCGAATCTCTTTCCTTCTTCCTGCTCCAAAAGATCGAACTCGGGCATTCCGGCAAAGTTGCCCCACAACTCAGATCCAAGGTATTCGTATGTCTGGGCCGCACTTGCTGGGTCAATAAGACGTGTTTTTATTCCACGAGCAGCGGCGGCCTGGTCCGCTGTCATTTGAGCCTGGCAGCACTTTTCCAAAGAGATGAAAAAATAAACGGTAGATTCAATCGACTCGGTGGAAACAAGGATCCCGTGGTTCTACACGAGGGAGCATGATAAGCAGGTGAGAACGTTTGACTGAGCTCCTAGAGATACCTGGAGGATGACAGCCTAGTAGAATCTTATGAGCATTGACACATGTAAATCAACGCATTTGCAAACCTTTTTCGAACCAAGAGCATTCGCTATGGCCACACCTTCCTCGATATCATCGACAATGCCATTGAATTCGTCATACAAAGCATGATCCTATAGGTTCATTTTCGTTGAATGGGGATATCTCTTCAAAAGCGGATGAATGCGAGATTACCTTATAAAACGCACAGCTGTCCTGAGTAAGGGGATCAAGAGGTATCCCAAGAGTGCCGAATGCCTTAGCATACGTAGTATGCGAATGCGCAATGCAGACAACATCCGGGCGAGCTTGATGAATCGCTGAATGGATCAGGAACGCCACCCCGTTGAGCCACCGGGAAGGTCCAGATTCATTTTCCTGTATATTCCCTGCTTGGTCCACGAGAATGAGGTCCTCAGGCTGCATGAACTTGAAATGAACACCCTGTGGCCCCGCAACTGGTGAGTAACATGATTCACTATCTTGACAAGATATCAATCACCCAGGGGTTGAACCAGTAAAGTCTTTTCTGATCGGGTCCTTTTGACGAAGTGATTAGAAATGACGGTCACGCGCAGCATCATATGAGCGTTACTCTTACCTGGACAGTAATATGTCCAGCGACCCCTTCATCAAAACCGTACTTTCCTGCTTTGGCATGAATACGACGAGCGCTTCTTGTTACAAATAGAGCTCACCAAAGATGCGATATGCTTGAGCCAAGCGGAATTTTAGGAACGCCCGATGTTCGAGTGGGTCAGAAAACGTTGCGAGGAACCGGTACGGTTTTTTTTCCAAAGATCAAACTTGCTCAATGTGCGGCCATAGTAGTAGATGTACGATTTGAAACGGATGGGGTTCTAGTACTTATACTGACCCTGCCAACGAGCGCTACAGGCTTCCTCTTCGTCGTTCTCACAAATATCCGACTGGCGTAGGACCATAGCAGGTACTAGTAAGCACTATGCTCGTCATCACGGCCCAGCTGTGATCACAAGCTAGCTTACTCGCACTTAAGACATGCAAACGTGATCTCCTCGGGCTGTCGGCGGACCAGATAGAAGAAAGTTATATCAATTCGTACTCTTCTGTATGACACATGTATCAGACATTATCATCAGAGAGCCGGTAAGGCCCGATCCCCAAATACCTCGATGCGTGGGACCGCTTTCGAAAAGACTGTATAGTTGATTGGTGCCCGGTGATTAGACTCGTAACCAGTCTGACCTGGTCACGAGCCTAGCCGGTGAATCGTGATTCAAATCGATGAATCACCAATCAACTGTACAGTTTTTTTCGACAATAAGGATAGGCTTCACTTGAAGTTGGGTGTCACTTGTGAATTTGATGATGTGCACGGCCCGGCTCGAGGCCGGACCAAGCCGGGCCCAGCCTAAGTCACGGCCCGAGGAAGGCTTTTGCATGTTGAACTGTTCAGTGGCACTGCCATAGAAACCTTGCCGGAGGTACATTTCCTGACTCTATTTTTTTTCTTTCCAAGCTTCAGACTTCCACCACCTTAATCAGCTTCGACTCGGATGGTCCACATGTCCAGCGCTATTATTTATGTCCTGTGCTTCGCGCGCTCAATATACTTACCATAGACATCGTGCTCTACCCCCCTCTATGATTCTCGAAGTCAAGGACTCAGAATGGCTTAATGTAACAGTGTATAGTGCGTTAAGCACAATATTTTGTCACTAATATTCCTGTAGTCGCTCAACTTCAACGTTTATGGTTAGGGTTATGATTATGTAAGGTGCTGGATCACAAGTCCTTCAAGTGAAGCCTATCCTTATTGTCGAAAAAAACTGTACAGTTGATTGGTGATTCATCGATTTGAATCACGATTCACCGGCTAGGCTCGTGACCAGGTCAGACTGGTTACGAGTCTAATCACCGGCACCAATCAACCATACAGTCTTTTCGAAAGCGTTCCCACGCATCGAGGTATTTGGGGATTTGGATCCTACTTCGTGGGAAGTCGGGGAATACACGAAAACACGGGCCACTCAAAACGAAACAAAAAATGTAAGGTAAAAACACAAACATCAAGTCATCAGTAAACCGGTGAGACTCAGATATTAGTCGATGTTGTAAGCCAGATGCTTCTTTCCTCTACATCAAACACCACGCGGAACTTGAGCTTCTCGATATCGATGTGGCCGGCCGCGCTGTTCCTAGTACTAGAGGGTTGACAGTCCCGACGTTATCTGGACGGAGGGCTGTATCACGGTGCTTGGCGTTGAAGTTCCAGACACAGAAGGTGCCAGCGACGGTGAAGGTGTATGAGTTGCCTGAAAGAACATATTCCCGCTCGTAGACCTCGCACCCGCACTAGCATTCGTTGGTGTCGGAGGAGAGTCGCCTTGAACTACGGTCCCAAAGTCCGCGCTGCAGATAATTATATCATACGGTGCATTCGTGAGGTAACGCAGAGTGCTAAGCGTGGGCAGATGAGCGTCCTCATCGCACCCGGTCAACTTGAATCATACGTACAAATCAAGGCATCATGCAGTTGCACGAGACGCCTAGGTATTGCCAACTGACAAGACTCGGCTCCTGGGCTCACGTTCGTTGAGTATCTGGCACGAGTCCTCAATATTGGACAGTGTTAGACAACTAAATTCCTTCATTCTCACCGCTACGAGATCAGATAAAGTGTTCGACTGCATAACTACGTGTATACCTTCAACCTAACTGGATTCTTGGACAGCACTCGCGGGCAAAATGCACTTAGCCGAGTAGAGGTAAGGGCTACAAGTACTATCTTTCCTTGCGCCTGTTCTAACTTCTAAGCAAGGTAGGCTGGAGCGTCAAATTTCGCTCACTGTGAATACTTATGCCGTGTTTTAGAGAATCAAAAATCAACAAAGATATTGCTGGACGCTCAAGACTCCGTATTAGTAGACAGATGATCTAAACAGTCTCCTAGGGTGCAGGAACATACTCGAATCTCTTTCCTTCTTCGTGCTCCAAGAGCTGAAACTCGGGAATCCCATTAAACCAGCCCCCCATCTCAGACCCAAGGCGTTCCCATGTCTGGACCGCACTTGCTGGGTCAATAAGACGCGGTTTAAGTCCACGAGCCGTGGCGGCCTGGTCCACTACCATTTGGACCTTGCAGCACTTTTCCAAAGAGATGAAGAAGAAAACGGTAGATTCAATCGACTTGGTGGCAACGAGGATCCCGTGGTTCTACACGATGGAGCATGATAAGCAGGTGAGAACGTTTGATTGAGCTCTTAGAGATACCTGGAGGATGACAGCCTAGTAGAATCTTGTGAGCATCGACATATGTAAATCAACGCATTTGCAAACCTTCTTCGAACCCAGAGCATTGGCTATAGCCAGACCTTCCTCGCGGTCATCGACGATGCCACGAAATTGGCTA